CTTTCTTTCTTTCTTTCTTTCTTTCTTTCTTTCTTTCTTTCTTTCTTTCTTTCTTTCTTTCTTTCTTTCTTTCTTTCTTTCATCACAATTGATTCAAATGGATGATATCATCTACTTAGTACCTAAATTTCAATAAATGAAACCTGAAATGGCTGTCAGGGTCATCTACATCATATAAACATTGACCCTATAAAACGTGGATTAGTTGGGAGATTACACGCTTTGCAAGCATCCTGCAGTAAAAGGAGATGGAAAAGAAGAAAAAGCAGAGTTTGATAGAAGATCAGGAAGCTGGCTTTGGAGAAGAATACAATTTGTTTTGGCATACTCATTTATGAAGCAAAAAGGAGGCCTGAAATAAAGTCTTCCAAGGCACAGTATGTGATCAATATTGCAAGGTATAGTTTGACTTTCAGTGGCTGCATTCACAGCCTCCATTTTATTAAGAAAAATTGTGTGTGTGTGTGTATACTCCTCGACTTATGACAATTGAGCCTAAAATTTCCATTGCTAAATAAGACAGTTGTTAAGTGAGCTTTGCCCCATTTTATGACATACTTGCCAGAGTTGTTAAGTGAATCATTGTAGTTGTTAAGTTAGTAATACAATTGTTAAGTGAATCTGGCTTTCCCACTGACTTTGCTTGTCAGAAGGTAACAAAAGGGTCACATGACCCTGGGACACTGCAAATACATGCTGGTTGCCAAGCACCTGAATTTTGATGACATGACCATTGGGATGCTGGTCCTAAGTGTGAAAAATGGCCATAGGTCACTTTTTTCACTAAACGAATGGCTGTAACTCGAGGACAACCTGTGCCTGGAATAAACAATTGCTGGATTTTCGCAGGGGACTATAATACCTGATTTGCCTGGCTAAGGCATCAGGCTAGAAACCTGGAGATGGTGAGTTTCAGTCCCACCTTAGGCACAAAGCCAGCTGGGTGATCTTGGCCAGGCACTCTGTCTTAGCCCTTGTAAGCAGGCAAGGCAAACCCTGGGAAAAACTTCTCAAGAAAACTGTAGTCTCCGAGAATCAGACATGGTTGAATGGAAAAAAAATAAAAATAAAAAAGCTAAATAGTCATTTGCAGTTCGTCGCTTCCATTATAACGTATTTTTAAACCTATCCATTTTTGTTTATCCAATAAATAGCCCAATCAAATGGTTTTGCCTGTTAACTTTAATACAGAACCAGGGCATGACAGTTGTTCCAGTCAAAATTTTAATTTATTTAAAAACCGCTCCGAGGGTTAATTTCCAGATAGCAATTCGGCTCTAAGTTTTCTCGTCCTTTCTTCTATTCCCGGCTCCTTCCGAGTCTTCTCCGAGAGCGCGCAGCTCGTACTGAGGAGGAGGAAGCGGGAACGTTCCCGTCTCAGCTCGAAGTTCCCCGTCGGCCTCCTTTTGCTGTAGGCTCGCAGAGGGCCCGGAGCGTGTTGTTGCTATGGCAACGCAAGTGGCCACCCGAGCCCGGTCGAAGTTGTCGGCGTTATGCAGGGAGCGACTCCGGAATTCGCCGTCTTGCCCCGCGGGCAGCCGAGTCACACCATGAATAGGTAGCTCTAAGATACTTTCCCGAGGCAGGTCGAGGAACATGTGTGAATGAGGAGGCCCTAACCTTCCTTCCCTTCTTTTCTCACCCAGGTTAAATGTTCTTGTGGGGCAAGGAATGCCTAGGCCAGGGGCTTCTAAGGTAGGAACCTCGATCCTTTTTTTTCTTCTTCTTTCTTTTGCATCTTTGAACATATTTGACCTTTCAAGTTATGGCCCGCCACAAAAGTTCTGGACATCCACAAGGCTTAATGCGGCAAAAAGGCCATACAATGTCCATTGATCCTTACTCCGAAAAGAGTGCAAGTTTGCAAAACACTCAGAATCCCACAGGCACAGTCTCTCTCTCTCTCTCTAGGTAAGCCACACTGCAGAAGCCTTCATCTGTCTTCAGATAAAATTTTCTCTCTGCCCCCCAATAACCCAAAGAAACAAAAGGCTCAAATTATTAAACAAATCCACAAGTTGGAGTCCTAAAGAAAATTAGTTTATACCAATAAACCTGATTTATTAATAGGGTTAGTTTAAGTGGGATGGTGTTTGAGGAGCTGTATTTTTCATAGGGAAGATTAGGAAACATATTTTATAGTACCTGTAAAACTTACAGATGGAGCTGTTAATAAAGTCAATTTTAAAAAGTGAGGATGATAGAAGAAAACAATAGTATCAAAGCCATGTGTGTTTTAGTATGTGGGACTGAGAAATAGAAATAGGAATTAATTACAACTTTTATCTTTTTACCACTGTGTACTATTTACAATCAGTATGTTGGAAATATTAAAGTTTTAATTGCCTTTCAGTGTATGTTTAGAGATTTTCTGTTAATGTAAAAACACAGATGCAAAACAGTCCTCCTGCCCCATCAAGGCAACAATACCAAGCATTGATGCACCAATTTTTTTAAAAAATAATTTATATCATTTTGTGGTAGAATAGTTCTTATTCTTTCCCAATACATGCAAGAAGTGCTGGGGGGAGGGCGCACATGAGTGTTGTCAAGCATTGGTCAGATCTACAAAGCACTCCGATTGGTTTGTTCCCATTTGAACTCAAGCCAGACCTGCTAAATGCAGTTTACTGGATTAAATGAATTTCAGATCATACAGTGATTTGCAGAAGTTCTGGTGTTCTGCAGAGATAGCAGCAGTTGCACATATGATACATAATTATACACAAAATTATATTTATGTAAATTTGATTATCTAGTCCCAAGAGATGAAGGTTACAACTAGTCTATGGATAATTGATATATAGAGAAGGTCATACAATAACTATTAATGGGAATGTTTCAACTTTGAATGCAAGGTTGGAGGGTGAAGAATATCTCCAACACATTGGAGTATTGTGATAGTAGGTTGATTCTAGAATTCTCACCCTGTAATTCTGGAGATTCTGTATTCATTAAAATGGTTTCTTTGCTGCTTCTGTTTCTATAACAGTTTAGTTGTCACATTTTGTATCATAATAATTAAAGCTAGATTAAAGCTGCATAATTTATATTTACAAACTACAAATCAGCAATGCTGTATCCAAAAATAAGTTAGAGCAAATTGAGTTACTTCCTTACATCTTAGTTACCTGACTTAGTAAGCTTTTCACACCATTTGCAAAAGCAATAATTGTTTAGGGATTTTCTGTTGGCCTATTTAAAGTTTACAGAGCACAGTAATGCAATGTCAATCCCAGTCTTCCTATTTGATTACATGACATTAGTCTCATTCCAGTTTAGGTTATAAACAATAATGCACCTTCATTTTATTATACTTAGTTCATTTGAATTAAATTACTAAAATGTAGCCTCTACATGGTTTATGAAAATTGACAAGACAACATATGTTCATGGACATACAGTGCAAAAGAAGGTAGATAGAAGAGAGACTTTACAGGCTTGCAAAGAGTTATTTTTGTTTACGAACATTGAACTTATTTTTAAAATGTGTATGTATATATTTAATGCCAGAGCTTATAATGATTACTGTGAATAGGAACATTAATATTTTGAATGTGTGTAACATGACTAGTTTTATATGTATTTTATTTATTAGCATTTAAAGTATAAAAGTATATTTAATAAAAGTAAATATATTCAGTATTAATGGAACAATATTAACATCAAGAAGAAGAAAAAGGTTGTAGTAGAATGAGACAATAGTAGTGGAAGAAAGAAATGGTAGTAATAATGGAGAAGGACTCCATATCCCTCTCTTTCTAATATTGTCAAAGATTATAGCATCAATCCATTGGTACAGACCAGGTTTCCTAAATTATACACATATGAAACTTATTTTCAGAAATGACTTCTTAGAAATATTTGGATTTTTATTCTACACTCATTCAGGTTTCTGGAATGTTGGAAGTGATCACTCCTGAAGGTATTTATTTAAAACATTGTATTTTGCTTTGTAACATTTTCTTGGATGTCTTTACATTTTAGATTTTATATCAAAAATATAAATGCTCCTTCAATCCCATTCTGAAGAATATGTGCTTTGAACTAAGTCATTCTTACTTCTAAGTAAACTTGCATAAGATTGTAGTATAAGAAAAATTATTGACAGATGTGCAACCTTGTTAACCTGTAAATTGTAAAGTTGACATTTTTGTTTCTGTACCATAATGCTGTTCAGAGCAAACATGTGGAAAGCAAATGTCTAATTCTCTTCCTCCTCCTTCTCTTAGACAAGAGCCTCACATCCTGTGTTGTGGCTTAAATCACAGAGACCTCCTAAATTTCTCCATCTAAAAATGGAATATAGCCAATATTTTATATGCAGTTGCCCAACATTTATGTATCAGCAGGATGTTAAATGTTTCATAATAAAGATTGTGAGAAACAACTATACTTTTTTTGGTTTCTAAAGTATATTGCTTAAAGTCTCCCAAGCGAGAAATTAAGAAAAGATTTGGGATTAGGATATTGGGCACTTGGAAGCTGCCTCATAAAGTACTGCATATCAATCCCACATTTGAGAAAAGATGGAATTACTTTTTGACTCCTGCATAACAGATGTTTATTTCTAAAAAATGAAGGACAACTATAATTATTTGCTTGTTTCTTCTTTCTAGCACTGTGCGTCTCAAACTTTCTGCACTCATGGATCATCAAACAAATATAAAATATGATTTTATAAATAAACTATTTTGTATTTTCACTTACTCCTCGACATTGGTAAAAGGCACTGACTGTGGTTCTTTGTCAGAAGTGTTTATTTTTATTTGTAATTTTTCTTTAAATTTATCAGTATAGCTAAGACTTTATCTGAGCTGCAAAAATCCAAATAACCTTTAGATTGGTGTAGAGAAAAAGAAAATTCTAATTGTTTATTGCTACCTTGTGGTCATCCTAATTTTTATACACCTGATCTGGTAATCCTAGCATACCTCTCTGGTCCCCAAATGTTTACAAGTCATTACCCTTATTTTATATGAATCAATTCATCCAATTAGATTTATTACATGATTATTATTTGTTCAAGTTTTATTTTATATGTATCTTGAAAACTTCAATCTTTTATTGTGTGTTATTGACCTTCTTTATACCCTAAAGCAGACGAGGTTTGAAGGTATTGATTGAATATACATGACATTTTTCTTTGTTGTTTTTTTTAAAGATGGGTTTATCTTAGAAACTCGTTTGCCTTTGTCAAGGTAAGGAAGAAAGAAATTTTTGCTCTGGGGGAGTTTAAGCATTCTGAGAATGGAAGATCTTTTGGTCTCCTCAGGTTTCTCTTCCTGATAAAATACTAACAATTTTTATCAATCAATCCCTATTTGGAATTAAATTTGACCAAATAAATGGGGCTTGAAGGGAAAAATAGCTGTAGACTAAGAACCTAACTACATTGCACACAGATGGTGCAACAGCCTCTTCTCACTTCCTTCCACAAAACTCTTCAAAGGGAAATGCAACTTTGGTAAAGAAACTAGAGAAAGTGTTTCATCACCTCCCACTTTCTATTTTTCATTTGATTACACTGTCCCAAAGCTGTTTTTTTTTTAATTAATGAAGCAAAAGTATCTGTTTTAGGTATGGGAAAAGTTTACAGTTAGAACAATGGCATGAGGCCAATCCAAATATTGTAAACAGTTTGCAAGTTTCTGAATTCTCTGGAAATTTCTTCTCATCCTGGGGAAAAGAGGAGCCGGTTGAAATTAATTACTGGCAATTTTATGGAAACTCTTAACATTGGAAATGAGACTAGTACAGTACCACACATTCAAATTTAACAGAGTAGACACTACAATAAATTTAGAATGCATACAAAATTACCCATTTGGTGCTTAGAATGATGTGTAATTTTAGAAAGTACCAGTATATACTCTGTAATCTTTCTCCATTCGTATGGGAAAAATAGGTTCTGTGGTATTTAAGACAGGAGCAGGGGAATAGGGGCTTTTTACACTAACAGAGCTAACTATAATGGGGAATAAACTATGCCCTTTATATAAATATTGGGATAATAGCCAGCAGGGGGAGATAATGATTGACTGCTACAACCTATCATAGGTATTGCAAAGAAAACAGGCTGCTGTTGGCCTCCCTATTTTTTTCAGACTGGAGCCTAAGTAAGCCTAGGGAATCAATGTGATTGGAAAGGTGGGCCTTCAAATTAAATGTTAAAATGCCAAAAATCAATTATTGGGGAAACATCTGTTGTCTAGGAATTCATCCTGAGGAAAGCACTGCTTTGGCATTGCAAAAATCTGGCCAAAAGAAAAAGTGGGAGCTAATTTCTCCTAGCATTGCCTGTCAGACTGCTTTGGATGTAGCAAGAGGTAGGAACTGAAAGAGACAGACAGACAGAAGTCCATAGTCTATAGGAATTCCATTTTCTGACCAGAAGCTCTGTCTAACTCTCATCCATTTTGATTGATAAAATCTTTCAAGTTAAGAATGTACCAATAAAGGAGAATATTTGTAGCTCAGCAAAGAAATGAGGGGTCTTTGGTGCTCTCTCAGCTTGCTTGGTTTCTTGCAGACATTTCATTACCCCAATTAGGTAACATCATCAGTGCTAGTAAGGAGTGCTGTTTGCTGTCAGTTTATATTCTAGTGTCTTGCCTGTCTTTGTGGGTGGGGATGGTCTGAGCCCCAACCCACGCTGCAAGAAAACAGAGAGCATCAAGGACCCCTCCCGATGAGATTGTCCCAGACGGCTAGGGAGGATTGTTAGTGCTTTCCTGAAAGCAGGATGTGTTCCTGCCTATTTAAAAGAAGCTATGATAATAATTTTGTGGGGTTTTTTTTAAAGCCCTCCCTTGAGCCAGGAGATCACTGTAATACAGGCCAGTCTCAAATATTATAATCTCTGAGTAAAGGTTGAATGAAAGTGTTTCGGATTGAAATAGTTTCTTTTCAGTACCAGATGATTTTAATTATATTGATTAGACAAGACAGTCTGAGTTTCAGCTGACATGATATTTGATCATATGTCAGCTAAAACATTTGGTCTTGATAGTTTATTAGATATTTTGGTAGTCTAACCATTGTATCTCTCTGGGTGATTTGGTGGGCTTGGAAATAGACCTAGGAACAGTTCTTTGCAGAATAGTGTATTTGCAATGATTTTGGTCCCATTTTTTGGACATGTCCAGAAGTTCATTCTGGGAGACTACTGTGCAGTCCTTAAGCTACTGACTGATGGCCCCCTGATGATTCTGTTGTGTCCCCAACTCTTTAAAATGTACCTAAAACCACAAGGAAACTTATTTGGGACTTTAGAAAGGGAGTCATCAGTATGCTGATAACATCCAGGTCCACTGATTCCTCCTAACTAATTCCAAAGAAGCAATCAGTACACTAATGCATAATTTAAATAATGGCCCAGATAAGGGAGAATGTCTTATGAATCTCTGCTGTTGCTAGATTCAGAGGTGGTGACTGTGGCAAGGATGGTATTTGCATAATTGCAGCCAATATGCCATCCATTCCTTTCTGATGTTTTTCATGCTTGGGGTTTCTCCCCTTGACTACATCCTGCATTGCCTACTATAGCGTATTTTATGTAGAGCTACTCTTGGAAAATATCTTTGGCAATTGATGCAAAGTGCTGTGACTAGGTCCAAGATTTAGGGGGTCACAACAGAGTGATATTGAACTATCTGTATTAGCTTCTACAAGCTTAGTGTGTAAATTTAAGTATTGGTTCTGGCCTTTAAAGCCATAACCAGGTTAGGGCCTTGGCATGAATTAACTGAGCCCAGAATGAACAAGGAAGAGGGTTTGAAGTGTTCCCATCGGTGACTTGGTGGGGATGGCAATTAAAATGTGAGAGATTCTTTCAGCAACCAGAGATACCATTATGCAGATTAACTGAGTTAAACTAGGCTTTGTTTCTGAAGTTGGCCTATAAGGGCAAGATGTGGGAGCTGTTGATTTTTCCTACTGTTGCTGTGCTGCCCGCCTCCTGCTATAGAGTAGCATCCATGCCCAATATGTTTGACCCCACTGCTGGGTTGGTGATGGAGACCCATAGACTTGTGGTGGCTAAGTGGCTTCAACTTGCATTGGGAATGGAATCCAGAAGTTGGGAATTCATCAAAGATCAGGCCTAAGAGGCTGGTCAGACATTAGAACTGCTTTCCATAAACAGATGGAATGAAGAGATGCAGTGTGACACAATAATCTTAAGATAGAAGTTTCATGAAAAGGACAGAAGGGATGTGCTCAGATGATGGTTAGGTGAAAAGAGGAGAGCCACCAAATAGTTTTGGGCTGGGAACCTATAATCATTTTACTAACTAAACTGTACCTAGTAGTTTTCAGACAGAAGATTAAACCAGGGAGCATTCCTATTCTTGCAAGAGCAGTGTATTATCTTACCAAATCGCCAGGTTGATTACTAATGTGTATTCTGTCACTTAGCAGTGATTGAAACTGTGATAAGTAGTGGGTAGATATTTTCTGATGCTAACATACTGTGTTATGGTTTCTCTGTGTGTCAGGAATATTGTAAGGAATTCTGTATCCTTATATAAGGATTATTTCTTCTGAATGATGTAGCACCTGCACTGAAGATCACTAAAACACCTTCCATTTGTATATTATTATATTGTGCCTTTGAGTCAGTCTTGACTCCTGGTTATTGCCTGGACAACTTGCTATAATTTTCTCCGCCTGAGAGATAGTGACGGGCACCCACGTGGCTTTGTGTCTAGAGTGGGACTAGAACTCACAGTCTCCTGGTTTCCACCCTGTTGCCTTAACCATTACCCCAAATTGGATTTGTAAATACATACTAAGCCGTAACGTAATTGCTTGGAATATTTTTTGGCATGCTATGTTCTATGAACTTAATCTTTGTGATTTATAAACTATGGTTTATAGCAAGGTGAATTGTATAAATTCTGCCAGTTATGGTTTTTTTAAAAAATGCTTAAGAAATCTATATTGTAGCACGATGTTTGAACCACTTCAAGATTTAGTGATCCCCAGAAAACTAGAGAGCAGTTTTGGGGTGTTTATTTTGAAGCATTATTTGCGTTTCACTATGCCATGCTGCATGTACTTATTGCATGAATTATTTTATCTTATACTAGGCATAATAGTTTGGGAAGGACAGATGCAATGAAGGTAAAAATATTCATCTGGAGTTTGCTATAAGTTTCTCTTTGAAAGGAACGTATATGCTGCTATTTAATAGTTTTGATGAAAAGCATCAGCTTTAATCCATTGAATATACATAACTGTAATCAAGAATCACATTCTGTACTGTATTGTCATCTTTTTTGGGAAATTATTCTATTAAGAGCATTCATGGTGAAGAATTTAAAGACCAAGTAAAATAGCAATTCTGTCTGTATTGCAGGAACAAAAGAATAAACATAATGGAAGATTGCATGTGTTTGGTCCAGAAGGTAAATAGTACATGTTATCATACTGTAACTAAAACCCATGAGGCCACGTCCCTGCTAACATTTTAAGAATCACGTGCCATTTCCCTCCCCTGGCTTCTGGACATACCCATATCAAGTCTCTAGCTCTTGAATGAATCTGGTTTAAAGCATTGTTAAGCATACTGGATTAGTCTTCTGCTTAATCCTATTATAGATTCAAGGTGTGAAAGGCTGGAATACTTTGTCACAGTTATCACTGTGGTAAGATCAACTGACTTGTTATCTATATGGACACACTTCCTCCCTCTCTTCAGAACACTAGTCAGCCATTTCTGTCCAGGTGGTTGCTCTCTCCATAAGCACTTGGTTTCTAAAGTTCTGTTTTCTACCTGCCACCTCACCAAGCCCCTCTTATTATTGATGCCAACTACTGTCCAGACTTGAAAGGAAAACTCGGCTATTTTATTCAGAAAAAAAGAAAAGGATGTTTCTGTTGTTTTGCTTTAAAGATTTGTAAAATATGTTTTTGCCTTTAAAAGTAACAGTCCTATTTTTCCTCATTACAATGTTCGGAAAATGAGAGGTATTGACCTGGGGTTTTTGTAGGGTGTTTTTGTGCAGGTTCCCCTACATTTGTCAGTTTCAATTAGTTTTTCACTTCTTCCATGAAGTAAAAAAGGAGATTGCTCAGAAATTAATCTGTTTTAATTATCGTGCTGTATATGGTCCAGTTAACTGCACTATGTTGACATATCTGCTTTTCCAGAGCTATTTCTCTCCTGTAGATTTCTTTATTTCACATTCAGAAAAATTAGGGAGATGCCCAAGTGGAGGCTGGAGAGAGGCAAACCGACCAACCTAAAGAAGCCCAGATAGAGTCCTGAAATCAATTTTCCAATAGTACTGCATAATCCTGACACTTCCTGTTGACTGAAAAATGGAAGATGTCGGAACTAGAGAAAAAATCAACTGAATTGTTTAGCATGAGTGTGCTGCTGACCTGTCAGGGCAACACCATTGAGCACAGACTTGGAGCAGAAACAATAGAGGCAGGATATGTGGTAACTCTTCCTAGCTGAGTTCTTTGTTGTTTCACAACTATAGACAGAATCTTGCCAAATTGAAGCACTCTACTATCTGTATTTACCGTCCATTTTGAGAAACTATTAAGGAATTCTGCACCCTCTTTGTCTCACACATTGTATCTGGACTGACCTGCCTCTTATTCTCTTATTCTTCTGGAATGTACCCCCTTCTTCCTGTGATCCAGCCTACTACATTCCATCATAGGAACCACCACCTTGAATTGTGTCTCAAAACCACTGACAACCAGCGCATTTCTCAAAGGAGCAGGGTGATTTAGGTTTTCAGGATATACCCATCATTGTCTAGGCCAGCACATTCTACACCAGCTGTAGCTGTTCCAAATGTTTTTCAAGGGCAGCCCACATATAGCATATTACAATAAATAACAACCAGGAGGTGAGTAGAGTAGACCTTGACTGTGAACAAGGCCTTCGGGTCCAGAAATGGTTGCTTCCTGGCCACAGCTGCCTCCTCTTTATTGAACTGAAATTGTGAGGATGGCAAAATTGCAGGCCACTTCTGAATGGGATAGCACAGTCCTTTTCAGAGTCAAGATGGTATTTCTCTAGAGTCACTAGACCATATACCCAAGATAACTCTGTCTTGGAAGGATTTAGCTGGAATCTGTTCCTCCCCATCCAGACCCTCATAGCCTCCAAGCACTGATCAGCATATCTACTGTGTGGTTTATTTGGCCTAGGTCCAAGATTATTTTGATGATACTGAACCCTATGAACAATAGATGATTTCCCCCAGATATTAAAGGGATCTTAAAGAGAGATTTTAAAAGAGAAATAGGAAAATGTTCGATGTTAAAGAGAAATAGGAAGATGAGAGAGCCGTGAAGGATTCCATGTTTAGATGTCTGAAAAGAACTGTCCTTTCTCCCCTCTGCATGACTGGACCTGCCCTTTCAGGAAGGAAGGGAGACCTTGCAAATTGATCCTTCCTTCCTCACTGCCTTGGAAATGGTCCAAGAAGATACCATGATCGATAATACCAAAAGCTGTTGCGAAATGAAGGAATAGGATTGCATTTTTTGATCACAGTCATAAGTTTTGATCATAAGTGATTCAAAACTGTCCAGTTGAGTTTTTCTGCTGTATTATGGCCTTGATTGCAATGGTTTCAAATAAGCTGTTTCCTTTAATTGCTGGAGTTGCATGATCACCACTCTCAATGCAACATCTTCTAGCAAGGAACAGTTGGCAGCAGATCTAAAGTGATCCAAAATAGTCAGGTCAAATGGAAGTTTTTGAATAGGGGACCCATGACAGCTGCTTTTAGAGGCCACAGAAAAACCCCTCACTCAAAGAAGTTAAGGAAAGCCTAGCAAATATGTTATTTTATTGTAGACACACTCTTATCATTCTGTGCTTTCCATTTTAAGAGAAAAAATATGATTAATAAATTGACCCTGCATCAAACAAACTATTTTCTGTTTCTATTTTTAGAGGAAGTAGTTATTGAACCAGTTCAAACAATCCCACGGTAAGGAGTCACATTATGTGGCTGGTGTATTTCTTATATTTTAAAATCATACCTTGTTAATAGATAAATTGGTAACAATGTCATAATTTTTTAATACATACATGTATAGTTTAGAAATAAATCTCACTCTTTCAAGTAAGTACAAATAGCATTGAAATCACAACTGGAAGAACTAATACTGATTCATAGTATATACTGTAGGTCAGCGGTCGCCAACCGGTAGGCCGCGGCCCACTGGTGGGCCTCGAGAAAATTTTGGTGGGCCACAGAGAAATCTCACACACACCCCCACTCCCCCAAAGCAATTAATCCAGGCTGCACAGAAACACAAGGCTCTGCCGTCCACATGGCCCGCGGGAAACCTCCCCGCCCACTTACTCCTTACCTGGCAAACTTGCTTGCTAAGTTGCTATTTTTCCTTTTTCTGACCATCAGCTGTTCTGCTGTGCCGGGAGATTTAGATTAGCTAGGAAGCAGGAAATGATTGGATTTCTTGCTTTCTAGCTAGTCTTTAGATCTTCAGCTCTGCTTTTAAGCACAGCCGAACCTCCCTTAGGACTGAAGGTTCTATTGTTCAGTGCAGACTCACGGCAAGCAAATTTGAGAGACTGAGCTAGCCGATGGCAGATAGATAGATCACTGAATGATTCTATGAGCAACTCAATCTGCCTGCCTGCTGTGCCTGATTTTGGGTAAAAGTTGCTCTTTTTTTTTATAAAAAAATCAATATTTATATAAATATTTACAATATTTACATACCAGCCATGCCCAGCCAGTCACATGACCACCAAGCCACACCTACAAATTAGGCCACACCCACAGAACCGGTTAGTGGTCCCTGGGATTTAAAATTATGAGTTTGGTGGTCCCTGAGGTCCAAAAGGTTGGCGACCCCTGCTGCAAGTAAAACACATGCAGGAATTGCCAGCAGGATTCCTGTGAATCCCAGTGTGCTTACAGACACTGCCCTTGTTGCCTGCCAAGCCGCCATCCTTTCCTACTTTTTCTATATTTAAATTGTTTTAGTTTTAAACAAAAAGGAAGTAGGCAGGGTACAAAGCAAATTATCCTTAAACCAGTGGTGGTATGCCACTAAAGATCAGCTGAGAGGAGAAAGAAGAGAAAAGCACAGGATCGGCCCTCCCACCTGCCCCTTCACTTTTCTTTATCCTCTCATCCCTGATTGGCGCTGCAGATCTCAGCTGGTAGGCAAAGCAAACCCACCAAGCCATGCCCACCAAACCAGTGGTCAAACCGTTTGAATCCCACCACCTAGCCTTAGGTTAATTAGCTTCGACAAGAATACAGTCAGATCCCAAAGAAGTTCTTAGGCAATAAAAAGCTCTTTAGATCTAGCTTTATTGATTGTAACCACACTGCTGAGAGAAAAAAAATGGTAAGGATAAACTGAGGGATAGGAGTCTGTACTCTCTGTGGTGTCTAATGGGACTTGGCGATTGGATATAGATCCTCATGCCAGCCCGTTTCTTTTGCTATATATGATATGTTTTCAAAATTCCAAAGCCACCTGTTGGGTTAGAAGGTTTGGGAGCACTTAATTAGTTCAATACAGGTTTGTTGAAAGCATGTTTCTGTGCTGTTTCCAAATATTCATAGAATATATATTTGGTTCCAGTGACTGGAAAACTTTCCACTTCAATCTTGGGTCCAATGCAGGTGTGCTGTAAATGTAAATAAAGTGTAAAAATGAGGAATGGGCTATTCAATTGCACTTAGTTTATTCTTCAGTAAAGAAACAAGCTTGGTTCTCACACTACCACTGTAACATCCAATTGGGTGTGATTTTTATGAAAATATTCATAATCTGGCAGCCCATTCCTATTCCATCAATTTTCCTAAGCGCTATCATATCTGCATTTTACCTGTGTATAATGGCTTGTTATCACTATGCCTAGATTATGATCCCGGAGCAGTTAAACATTCAAGGGTTGGGTTGGGTTCTCTCACACTATCCTTAGAGCCTGTGCTAAAATTTTCTTTGTACTTGTTATTTATAAGGGCAAAATTAAGCATTCGGCAAATAATTCAGAGTTTTTCTCATTTTCCATTCCCATGGTTGTGGCGAAGACACTGAAGTTCAGTTTCCATGTAGTGACATATTTGAGTTCTTGTGGCCTATCATTCCCAGTATCTCTTCTTCTTTTTTTTTCTTCTAAAAACTTAAAATAGCAGAAATACATGCTGGGCTGCCAGAGGTAACTGAACAGCAGCATCACACCGTTGAACTTGCTGGAGTCAGGCAAGGGCCAGCACTACTCACCCTTTTATCTACAAGGAATAAAAGGCTCTTCTGGCAAAAGATTGTCTGAGAACTTCCTTTCATTTGTCAAGATCAGTTCCTTGCGATATTTATATAAGCTTCCACAGAAGTGGTGCGAGGAGGGCAGAATGAGCAAGACATCCTTGCACCATCTCAATGCATGCCCTGTTTTTGTACATGCGTTGGGATGTCACCTGTCCATATATAAAGGGTGGAGCTTGCAGCGCAGTACAGGTTATGGTTGATTTGGCAAAGCTGCAAGAGCCTGTGGGTGCCCGTGCTGTAAACAGTCGCTTATGCTATTGCAGTCACGGCCTGTTTGTAGAGTCATAGCAGTGCTTCCCAAACCTGGGTAAATTAACTTAATAGAACTGCAGGTGATTCAACATAACAACTCTGGCAAGAAAAGTGGTAAAATGGAGCAAAGTTCACAACAACTTTCTCACTTAGCAACAGAAAATTTGGGCTCAGTTGTCGTAAATCGAGGACTACCCGTAACACAGTCTTGTCTAATTTGAGCAGGTTGATCTGTGGAATAACTTCATGTCCCATCCTAGCTTTCTAGTGTGATTTTTTTTCTGTCTTTCAAAAGTAAAATTTCTCTTTAAGGATAATTAACAGTGTCTATAGCAACATATTTGCTTTGCAGTCTATATCAGGGGTGGGATTCTACCAGTTCGCACCTATTCCCTAGAACCGGTTGTTAACATTCTAAGCAGTTCAGAGAACCTGTTGTTAGAAGAAATTACTGGCCTAATCCTGTAAGGAAGGCAGGAAGGAAACATTCTGGTGTTGCTTACAGAAACTGCCTCTCCATTAACGCTTATTACATTCTTGGCAGGACTAGACTTCCTGTCTCAGGAACTTCTCTGGAGGTTTTTTTTCCCCCTCCTTTGCTGGTCCTTTGCTTGTGTGGCGTGACCATTCAAAGTTAAAATGGCACTGAAAAAAGTGACTTATGACCATTTTTCACACTTACGACTGTTGCAGCATCCCCACAGTCATGAGAGGCCAGGCAAGGAGATGTGTGCCTCGATGTGAGTGATATTGAGTTGGCCACACCCAGCCAATAACATGACCACCAAGCCACGCCCACCAACTAAGCCACACCCACAGAACTGGTTGTTAAAAAATTTGAATCCCACCCCTGGTCTATATGCTTTGTTCTGAAGAAGTAAGTCCCATTTGACCTTAGGCAAATGTATTACAGGGTGGTACTCTTGATAATTAAACACATGAAAATGTGGTCACTGAGCATTTCCTCTGCATGAGACATACACAAGGGAGTATGTGCTAGTGTGGGGCTTTATACTGCTTGTATTGAAAATAATAAGTTTTAGCAGGCTCTACATCACACGGGTGTATCCATTAGAGGTGACATCTACAATTGTTCAGTTCCTCGAATCTATAAGATATAATTCATTGTATGGAATTTTTTTTAAATTCCACTGAATTAAGTTTAAAAATAATTCTTTTTAGCTATTGGTATGAAATAAAATATGAAAATAGAATGCTCTGTGTGTATGTCTGAGTGTATGTTTCATAAACACAAAAGAAGCTTTTAAATAGATCAAAATAAGATTGAATAATTATATATATATATTTATTGATGTGCTTTTGATTGTTTTTAACACTTCATGTGTGTGTGTGAAGTGTTAAAAACAAAAGCGCAACAATAAAATTAAAATTAAGAAGCTAAAAGTAGATATACTCTCAGTTGAAATTCATTTTAGTAAAACTGAAATGTTATAATTCAAAGGTTTCTCTGAGTATGAACAGCTTCACCTGTAAAAGGGTATTAAAATGAGAATTTGCATGGACTTTTTTAATGGGAGTTGCAGAGTGTGAGAACTACCTTAGACAATCCCAGACATGTTTTCTAGATAGTACTGGATTATTTCTAACTTGAATATGTACTAAGCTATCCATAAACTATTATGAATAAATGATGTAAACATTGTAAAAACCTATTACAGTGAAAACTACAGCTAAAAATATTGAATAATAACTAAGTTGTAGTACAAAATATTTTAGAAAGATATTTAAAATTAAGGAACTATTAATATTTACTCACATTGGAATACCAGGGCTATAAAATAGGACATTTAACAATATTCCACAAAAAAGGTGGGGTAGCAAACCATTTCAGTACTGTTTCCAAGAAAATTGTGTAAATATGTTTGTGCAGTTACCAAGAGTTGAACTTCACTTAATAATGTTTTTATTGGTCACTCTCTAAGTTATTTAAATTTAAGAGACAAACTTACAATAATTGAAGTATTGAAATAATATATTAATTTTCTGTAGAGATATATGGTATTATACATTTCGTTATTATTTTAGAAAATGTATTAATTTTTCCAGTTTACCAATTATTTTATGTCTGTATTCTGTTTGTCTTACATTGTGCCAAAATCAACCTTTTACCTTAACCTTGAAAAGATGGAATACAGGAAAGCAAAAATAAAAAGTTACAGCAGCTATTTAAAATTATATTTTAGTAGAATCATTATTTTGTCGATATTAAAAAAAAATTGCAGTGATATATTTTTTAAATTTTTTTAACCAAGGTAGTATGGGATGTGGAAATGAACCTACAGGCAGATCTTACACTCCGTCAAAGCAGATCTTGTTATGTACAGCTAAATCATTAGAAAAGTAAGTCTCACTTCAGTTGAGTTGTTAATTAATTCTATTACAAGAACAAATTGCTGACATCAAGCTTTTTTAATAGTTAACTGTTGTTCAGCTGCCCAACTTTGTAGATCTTGACAAGTTTTTATAGCCTGCCTTGAAACGTTGTAGATTTCTTTAAAAATCTTATACACTTGAGGGAGGTCCTGCCCCAAATGTCTATTGCCATTGTGACAGCTAGATGTTCAGAACAAAATAATCGTGTGAAAAGACCTCCGTAATTGTATTGGTTTTTATGGCAATTGGTGTAAGGATAGAGATGCCCTGCAATGCAATAATGCTGCAATAATAGTTTGAGATCATACATGGCCCATTCTGGTCTCAGTCCACAGACAGGGAAATGCAGCATTAACTCTGAATAGCTTTTTTGTTTGCCAAAAGCAAACACCAGATGTGCATTTTTTAAAAATGGGAGAGTTACATGTAAAATGCAATTAATGTTATTTCTAATTTGGCCCTAAACATTAAGTAATTCTGACCTAACCATATAAAAAGAGTTTTTTAAAAAAACCGCTGAGACCTATTTAGTATTTATTCTGTTGGCTAAATTTGTTTTTGTAAAAAAAAAAATTTGCTTTTTTATTGTTTGGGATAAAAACGCAATGCTAAGACGGAATGCTTTAGCGGCAAGAATTGTGAAAAAGAAAAATCCAAGGGCGAATGTAAAACCACATGACTGCCTTGAAGAAACAGGTGAGATTTATGTCTGCATTTGTGCTTTATAGATAATATGGATGGATGTCTGTTGTTGGAATAGAGAGTAGAAGCTGGAATTCAGCTATGTATTTCCATCATGAGTAGCCTTATTTCCTCTATGTATAAATTGGCCATGTCAGTTTATCTGATTTTTTTAATTTGGTATTTTCAGTATAGACAAATTATGGTTCTGGACATGCATGATTTTGCATGTGTGCAGTCTCTTTATCTTCATAAAGTGGTGTCGATTTAATCAATAAATACACAAAATGACTATCAAATTTGATTGGAGATTGATTTAGTATTGCTTTGGCTGCTCTTCCCGCAGTGTTTGGAAGCTGCGGGGCTCTGGATGGGGGACAGCAAGCTTCAGCTGAACCCTGGTAAAGACAGAGGGGTTGTGGGTGTGTGGAGCCTCGGGGTCAGCTTGTCTCTGCCATCTGCTGGTGTGTCTGGCACTTCCTCTGGACACTGGCTTGCCCATTTGCCTGCTGGCTTCCTTCTCCCTCCCTCCCTCCCTCTCTCTCTGTCTCTCCCTCTCTCTCTCTCTCTCCTCAGATTGTTTCTCTGCTTCCTTCACTCTCTCATTCTCTGTCCTCCTTCCTTCTCCTCTCCTCCTTTGTCCCTCCCCCATTTCCCAACAAACTACCTCCTTTTACTCTCTTCTATCCCATGCTGCTACTTCTCCTCTCATTTTCCGGGCGATTCCCTCTGCCTGGTGGTCATTCCGGGATGTTCCACCCTGCCCCTGGCCAGGTTGCTACCCCTCAGGCATCCACATCTGGTCACTGCTCAAGTGCCACTGCCCCATGATTCTTGCAGTCCCCTGCCTTCCAGCTGATTCAGTTGTGCACCACTACCGCCGCCAATCTTAGCTTTGCCCTGAGACACCCACAGCCAGCCGCTGCCCAGCTGATCAGCTGCGTGCTGCTGCCACTGCTGAATTTGAACCCAGCCGGCTGTTGTCCAGCACATCAGCTCCAGTACTGCCACTGCCCAGGGCTCTAACATAGCTCTGGCGATCAGCCCACCCCCTCTCCACACTCTATTAGTTCTTACTATACCGGTAATTGAATAAATGCAGATAGCTAAAAGCAATCTTTGCTTCTAGTTTCTTTGTAAATTTAAAAATGTAAACGAAAGGAATATTAATGTATATTGCAGCATGCTATATCTAAAGCCTTTCACCTAACCATGGTACAAACATGCCTGGCAATCACTTCTTCTTCCATATTTCCCACGCTGTAGCCTTCATCTTGTTTCCAGTTCATGGATGAGATAGACTTAAGTCATCCTTGACTACATCAGGGTTAGTGTAGTAAATGACTTTGATGGCAGCGGCAACAGCCATTATGCTTTTGCCATTAGCTTGGAGGTATTGTGACTACTGAAGGTGCTTGGAAGTATTGTGACAACAGAGGGGGCCAACAGAGCACTGCTTTTCAGCTGTTTCATTTTGGTATGAATGCTCTCCCTCCCCTCTGCTTTGCCTCTGCTACCCACCTTTCTCATGTTTTCTCCCCAAAGAGCTGGAGGTAGCAAGCTGCAGGATTGTGCAGTTGAGCTAGACTGCTCGGCTGGCAGTACTGAAATTGCTTTAATTCTATGGGTTACTGATTTAGCACAAGGTTGAATTAGCTAAACAGCTCCATGATGTAAGTGAGATAGCTTAACTCTGAAAAGACAGGACAAACCTCCACTGGGAATAGGGAAGGAATTGCCTTTTCTATGACATCTGCCTCTTGGTGTTGTGTCAGTATCTGAGTTAGAAAGTTTTTTGTTTTTTTTAAAGGTCTGCAATGCATGGTGAAACGAATAGACTTGTGGAATATTTTGCATGAAAATGGAATGGAAGGTTGTTTGTTGAACACAGTAGAATCTGTATAGGATGGCAGTGGGAATAGATGAAATACCTACCAAGTGGTTGAACACTGTGTAGAGAATTGGCTAGAAAGTGTGATGTCCTTTGGGTGGTTAATGCAGTTATGGGTAAGAAAAGTTTGTGCTAATGGTAAAAGTATTTTAGTTGGGGACATGAATGGGTCCTTTTACATGCAGATGAAGTCATGTTATTGAGAACACAAATGATTTCCCAACAAATGTTAAAATGATTGTAGCAAATGATACAAAGAAGACTGTAGATTTCAAATTAATTATCAAAGACCAAGGTAGTTGTGTTCTTAATTTCCTCTTTTACCACTTCATGTATTGAAAGAGATACAAAGTTCTGGATTCTTACCATTTTTGGCGGCCGCAACCATGATTAATTGATGCTGTCATAGTGTGCCTTTGACGTTTCTCTCTATCTTCTTCCTGGTCTGTCTTGTGTTCTTTGGCCTTTTCTTTTTGTATATGTCTTGTATGGTATAGAATCCCAAGACAACATAAGGTAGTTGTGTTTGACAAATAAAACAGAATGAATTACTGCAAATTACACATACATGCAGAGCAATTAATTCTACTCGATTTGTGCACCAAGTTAAAACGTTTAGATAGGAAGTAGATGGCTGTATTTTTAAATGTGCAAACGGTGATGGAAGAACAATGGATGGGTTGAAAGAATGTTCGTTGAAAGAAGCAAAAATGCTTCTGTGTAATACTTCTGCCTACTAGAAGTGCATGTTAGGTGTGTCAGGAGAAGTATAAATGATACGAGAATATGTTACTTAACTATGAATGGTAAAACAAGAACAAGTGGATGCTAAAAGTATTATACTGAAGGGTTTGGGGTTAAACTAGATTTTTATGCATTTCTTTTTCTTCTTATCTTCCACCTTACATTTCTTTTGCTTTCTGCTACTCTTTTTCTGAAATTTTCATAGCATAACTTATTCCAAAAGGCAATGAAATGGTGGGTTTGTCATGTAGGCTGCCAACTAATCAAGTTTAAATTTTCAATGCATCAAAAGTTCAATGAATCGACTTACTCTTGCAGGCCTATTATAATTTCTTTCACCAAAAGAGCATAATTGGCACAGTCTCGTTTGCCCCAACTTTGTAACTGCCTACTTAGCATCCGTAAAGGATATGTCCTCACCACTGCCATCCTTTTGCTAGCCCACTCCTGATTCAAGCTGCATCTGAATCAGTGGAATTCAGTAGGAAAGTGTGGTTTATCTTTAGAAGACGGGATAGAATTTCCTGTGTGAACTTCTTTTGTGTGCGAAGAAGGGCAGCAAAACCTTTCTTGGCTTAGTTTAAGAGCTTAGGTAAAAAGACTATTGTGGAAGCAGCCATTTTTGGGGTCATATACCTTCTTTCATCTGCGGGAAGAAACTCCAACAATAAGTCCGTGAGTGAGCTAACAAAAGAAGCCACCGTCTTGTACACCATTACATCATTTTAGTCTAAGTATTAACAATTCATAGAAAAATTGTCAAATATTGCATGGTTTCCTAAAGTGTCTCTGACTTCTGAAGTTAATTTGCTCCATGTTCATAGAGCTTTCCTGTTCTTCCTGTTATCTTTCTTTTTTTTTTTTAAGCAAATTTTATTAATTTCAAAGACAAACAAATCATCATCAACCATTACATATTTGAACCTTTTTCCATTATAAATTTTACAAGTCAGATAAAACCTTATTTTATACAATACAATTCTATTTTAAGCCATTTCCATATGAGCATAAAAATACCTCTTATCCAATTTCTCTTTACTTCTCTTTACTCTTATTCAATTTCACTATTATTATTTCATCTATTTCTTTCTGACTTGATTACCATTATTCTCATTCTGTATTTCTACAAGGTTTTATTAATACTCTCAAAAACATAAACACACAACAAACAAACATATAAAAAATATTTTAGGAAAGTAACTTGGCCCCAGGTACCTCTCTTTATATGGGCTTCAATTATATTCATGCTCATCTTACATATCATTACCTATTTTGTTTACCATTCTATATCTTCTATATAAACTTCTCCACACATTTCACTCTTCATAATTCTATCTTATTTAATCCATCTTCATTTAAATCATTATATTTGTATCTTTTGCCCATTCTTTATTATCCCTCTATCTCATTCCTTATTAAAAAAAAAAGAATTTCTCCTGAAGTCACTAATCAGAGTATGATGCCTTTCTATCCTCCCCCTAAATTAATTAGATTAACATTTAAAATAACACCTAATACCCAATCTGATTCTGCTTGGTACATTCTATCTACTAATTTTTTTCTTTTAATAACAATAAAAACAAAGTGATAAATCCAAAATGATTAAATACATAGTTAAATAATAAATCTAAATATTAAATCTTATAACATTCCCATTGCCTTTCCCTTTAATATTTTATTACATTTTAAAATCAATCATTGTTAAACATTTCAACATTTTAATTTCTTATTAACTCTTAAGCCATTCTAATTTTCTATTTCTAATACAGATGTTACAATACCATCTTATGTACCTTGCAAAATCTTTTTTAAGGAAATTGTACTTTACCCTTTGTCCCTAAAAAAAATTCCTCTTTTCCCATCTAATTTCAAAACTTTGTGGCTTTTCTCCGCCTTTCCGCTTTCTTTCTTCCCCCACCAAATCTTCCTACCCACCCTTCTTCTAGCCTCTGCCTTGCTGGCATCCCTTCTCTGTTGTGTTCCCTTTTTCTTTTGTTTACTATCATTATATTTATTTTGCATCTTATTTTTCTCTTTCTTAAATGTTTTTTTAGATCTTAAGTCCTTCATTTTCCTCGCTTTCTTCCTTCCTTCTTTCTTAGTTAAATTTTGGAATTCATTAAAGATGGCGTCTTCATCTTCTTCTTCTTGTTGTTCTTCTGCCTCCATCTGTTGTATTGTTTGTTGATAGTTAACCAGCGCCATTTCTAAAAATAGGAAGGCTTTTTCCATACCATCTTTACCGGCTGCTTTTGTTTGCTCATATTCTTCCCTCAGTTCCTCAAAAGAAAAAGCCATTATAGATCTTTTCTTTTCTTTTCTTTTTTCCCTCTTTCTTCTTACACCAACCAAGATATTTCAAAAAAAAGTAAAACAATCCCAAAATCCACAATCCTCAATCAATCCAAGCCAAGACAAAATTCTCCCTTTCTCTTCCAGGGGTAGTATCAGACAAAAGAAAAAAGAAAGCCCAAATCTGTATTTTGAAGCCTTATTGGAGTTCTATTTCTGTCTTCAAATCCTTAAGGCATCTCCTCCAACAAAATCAAACCAGATGAATATATTTTTTGTCCTCTCCCTTCCGACTTATCCCATAAAGCTAGTTTTACCTGAAAAAAAACAGGTTTCTCAATGTCCACTTATTAATTCCGTCGGGAAGGAGAGTAAACTTTCCTTTCAGCACCACCAAACTGCCGCTTTTTTCCTCTTCTAGAAGGTATCATTCAGAAAGTCATAATTTTCAGGAGTTTTGTTAAATATGTCTTAGAGTCCTGGGAACCAAGAAAAACTTTCTCTTTTCAAATACTTTCTCCACTTCCTCCTGCGCATTCTTACCCGGCTGCCAGCTTCTTTGTGGCGGCCATTGTGGACCGCCGCTGCACCGTCTTGGGAAAAGGGGGTTCTGCCGGCCGGGAAGGGGGTCTGCAGCACCCCCAAACCCCTCTCCGGATCCCCCCTATCTTCAGCTGCCCCTGCAGGGCAGCCTAGCTCCGGACCCGTCCGGATCGGAGCACCAAAAGCGGCTAGCGCAGCAGGGATCGCGCAGCTTCGCGAATCCCTGCCACTCGCAAAGCCGACAAACCGGAAGTCCTTCTTCCTGTTATCTTTCTATGCGCTAAACTCATATCATGGTTGCACGTAATGTCATGGTCAGTCAGCCCCACTAAATGAAGGGTAGGTTGATATAAATTTTGAGCTGAGGATGGACATCTCTAATGTAAGTGCAGTGTGCAATGGAATATAAAAATTATAGTAAGTGAACCTCATGATCATGTTTAAGGGAACGTCCTCCTTCATCCTGAGGCATGTTCAGTTTAATTCCAACATTCCAGTTCCCTCAGTGGCAAGCCAGCTGCTCCAGGGAAAGCTACAAAGAGGGTTACTAGTAATCTCTCCATAGTGATGCTCTCCACATACTGTTATTTCGTAGGATATCCTGTTTTTGAAGGAGATTCCATCAGTAGACCTGCTTTTATGAATTCATCTCATTCTCATTTTAGAGCTAAGCCCTTAGCCAGCATCAGATTCTGAGGCACAGAATTCTTTAAATTGAAAGATTTTTAAGTTGTCTGTATTGGCAAGCATGCTCATTGGGGAAATTTGTTATGTTGTTGGGGAGAGACTTTATCACCAACCATATTAATATTTTTAGATATCTTTTTCTAAGATAATAGCTTAATTGCATCAGTCTTGTCTCACTTGCAATATGCTTTCATCATTTAAGTTATTTGGCTGTCTTAATTTTCTTTTAAAGATAATTGTTACTGACTACAATTGGATATGTACTAACTACACATCAATTGGGTGTGAAAAAATATTAATCCAAACCAGAGGTGGTATTCAGCAGGTTTTGACCAGTTCTGGAGAACTGGTAGTGGAAATTTTGAGTAGTTTGGAGAACCGGCAAATGCCACCTCTGACTGGAGATTTTACAGTCTCCTTCCCCTGCCACGCCCACCAAACCACGCCCACAGAACCGGTAGTAAATTTTTTTGAATCCGACCACTGATCCAAACCTATGTATGAAGTTCACACATTGTTATTAGAGAGTACAGGATAATTCTCATGCTTCCACCCCTTAGAAGGTAGAACAAATACAGAAGAATATGCTACTTGTTGAGATCTGTGGTATCTGACTGTATGTATTTTATTGGATCAATAATTCTATCCATAGTTCTAGCCTTTCATTTTTTTTGCACAGGTGCTTAAAATGATTTGGCTTACATATATTTAAATATTAAACAAAGAGGGCAATTTAATGACAAATGTCAAAAATATGGACCCATCACAATGTGATTTTGTTTGTGTTAACATTTGTAAAGGGTTTCTATAGAATTCCAATTCCTTTTCATGGAAGTTTGAATTTTGTTTAGATGAAAAAATGAAAAATTCCAAGATTGATGAAAAGATTGTCAACAATGAAGTCTGTACTGAACCACAAAAGGACAGTGTGGACACAAAAAATGAGGATGAAAAGCCACCAGATAGTTCAGATGACGAAAACAAGACTGGTCAAAAAGGCAATGAAACTCAAAAGAGAATTGCACCACTACAATTGATGGGAGAGGTACAAGAATATACTAAATTGAAGCAGCACTGAAACAGAATGAGCTTTTCACACAAAGGAAGTAAACCTATTTCCCAATACAGTTGTATTTCTTAAAATAGGTTTACTTTCCCACATATAAGTAAAAATCTCATTGTTATAAAGATTGATAGTAAGAATCTACCTTATATATAAAAAACATAGGCATGAATACAGTTATGAGATATATGGGAGAAATAGTTTTGCTTTGCATGAAAAACAAAATATTTTTCATCTCAACAATGTAGTATGAGCTGCCTGCAATAAAAATGTAACACGTCCACTCTTATGCAGATACGGGGTGTGATATCATTCTGATGCTATCTGCTAACCTAAAGGCTCACTGTGCTTTGCGCTCTTTCAGAGAATACGAGGGCTACAACATATGTGGACGTAGTTGTTTAAATACTTCTGACTCCAGAAGATGTATGCCATAGCACAGTATCTTCAGTCTTTTGGTATCACTTTAGTTTTTAAATTATGTCATTTTGTTTTTAAATTATGTCATTATGTCATTTTGTTGAAGTTCTTTAAAATGGTACATTAAGAATGAAGAGCATAAGATAATGCATAGACAGGTTATATATTATTATTGTTGATTAGTAACAGCGATAGTATAGTTTATGGATGCAATAATTTATTTGTGGTTTCCTTTATTTAAGATAGGCTCATGGCTTCCACTGCTTCAGTCCCAGGAATGGCCATAAATAAAATTTAAAACAAACTTGAAGTCAATTAAAAGTAATACTTATTACATTCTCAAATAAGCTTAGAAATATATATATATATTTAATTTGTGTATTTTAAAATATATTTCCTAGTTTCTGAAAGCAATAATGGAACGGAATTACACTCTTGCAAAGAAGCTTTGTCAGATGAGTAAGTGCACCATTGTGTCAATAGTGTATTGTTGTTTAGAGTGTTCATTATTTTTATTTTGTCCATTTTTTTTACTCCTATGCTTACCATCCAGAGGGAAAATTGCAAGATAAAGTATCATATTTTTAAAAAAAATCCTTTTCACCTCATTGAGTGGCTTATATGTCTTCCTCGATCTCAGGTCCTCAACCGGAGTTTGACAGCTCTGTGCAGCATCTTAGCTGTTCCCAGGACTGACTGTTCTGAACAGAGAGCTCTGATGTCATTCATGGGATCTGTTGGAGCCACTCTCCCATCTTAGGAATTACAGACCCAAATGCTCCTACAACCACTCGGGCACTTTGGCCTTCAATTTCCACATTCTGTCGAGTTCCGCTTTCAGGCTCTGGTACTCCTCCAGCTTCTCATATTTCTGCCTCATGTTTGTATCGCTTGGCACTGCTACATCTATCACCACCATTATCTTCTGGTCCTTGTCTGCTACCACAATGATTGGCCAATACCTGCCTGTCTGCCTGGATTTAGAAGTCCCACAGGATCTTAGCCATGGCCTTTGGTGCAATCTCTCATCTGGACTTGGGAGGATCTAGCCCATAGACAATGCCAGCTACTTGGTTGTGCTTTTCAGTGTATGCTGTTCCTACCTGCATACTACACTCTGCCACTATGTTTTGGACTCTCAAACTATATTTTTTTGCATAACCTGTATCTCAGATCCTGTCTAATGTGGTAGACTCCTGCTTCTTTGGTTTTTGGCTTAGTTCCTGGTCATCTGCTGCTATGATCAGTGCCTCATACTGTCTTTTAGTCCAGCTCTTTCCAGCCACCAGTAAAATTTTCCAGTGTCAGCTACAGGTGAAACTCGAAAAATTAGAATATCATGCAAAAGTTCATTTATTTCAGTAATGAAACTTAAAAGGTGAAACTAATATATGAGATAGACTCATTACATGCAAAACAAGATAGTTCAAGCTGTGATTTGTCATAATTGAGATGATTATGGCTTACAGATCATGACAACCCCAAATCCACAATCTCAGAAAATTAGAATATTACATGCAATCAATAAAACAAGGATTGTACATAGAACAATATCGGACCTCTGAAAAGTATAAGCATGCACATGTACTCAGTGCTTGGTTTGGGCCCCTTTTGCAGCAATTACTGCCTCAATGCGGCGTGGCATGGAATCTATCAGCCTGTGGCACTGCTGAGGTATTATGGAAGACCAGGATGCTTCAATAGCGGCCTTCAGCTCTTCTGCATTGTTTGGTCTCATGTCTCTCATCTTTCTCTTGGCAATGCTCCATAGATTCTCGATGGGGTTCAGGTCAGGCGAGTTTGCTGGCCAATCAAGCACAGTAATCCCACGGTCATTGAACCAGGTTTTGGTGCTTTTGGCAGTGTGGGCAGGTGCCAAGGCCTGCTGGAAAATGAAGTCAGCATCCCCATAAAGCTCGTCTACAGAAGGAAGCATGAAGTGCTCCAAATCTCCTGGTAGAGGGCTGTGTTGACCCTGGACTTAATGAAGCACAGTGGACCAACACCAGCAGATGACATGGCTCCCCAAATCAACACAGACTCTGGAAACTTCACACTGGACTTCAAGCATCTTGCAGTGTGTGCCTCTCCATTCTTCCTCCAGACTCTGGGTCCTTGGTTCCCAAATGAGATGCAAAAGTTGCTCTCATCAGAAAAGAGGACTTTGGACCACTGAGCAACAGACCAGGTCTGTTTTTCTTTAGCCCAGGTAAGACGCTTCTGACGTTTGTTGTTCAGGAGCGGCTTGACAAGAGGAATACGACATTTGAAGCCCATGTCCAGGATCCATCTGTGTGTGGTGGCTCTTGATGCACTGACTCCAGCCTCAGTCCACTCCTTGTGAAAGTCCCTGAAACTTTTGAATGGCCTTTTCCTGACAATCCTCTCCAGGCTGAGGTCTTCCCTGCTGCTTGTGCACCTTTTTCTTCCACACTTTTCCCTTCCACATAACTTTCTATTAATGTGCTTTGATACAGCACTTTGGGAACATCCAACGTCTTTGCAATTACCTTTTGAGGCTTTCCCTCCTTATGGAGGGTGTCAATGATGGTTTCTGCACAACTGTCAGGTCCCATGATTGTGCTTCCTACTGAACCAGACTGAAAGACCATTTAAAGGCTCAGGAACCCTTTGCAGGTGTTGTGGCTTAATTAGCTGATTAGAGTGGGACACTTTGAGCCTAGAATATCGAACCTTTTCACAATATTCTAATTTTCTGAGATTGTGGATTTGGGGTTTTCATGAGCTGTAAGCCATAATCATCTCAATTATGATACATCACGGCTTGAACTATCTTGCTTTGCATGTAATGAGTCTATCTCATATATTAGTTTCACCTTTTAAGTTGCACTACTGAAATAAATGAACATTTGCACAATATTCTAATTTTTCGAATTTCACCTGCATCTCAGATGTCTGTCAATGGTACAACTCATGCAGTGTCACGTCTTGCCTTGGTATTTCTTCTGCTTGATCTTCCTCTCACATCTGTTGTTGCCTCAGGCATTCTCTCAGCAGCTCATCTTTGGGTGCCATTTTACTGATTTCTGGTTTCATCCAGAAAAGTGGCTTTGATACGCACCAGATTTCATCCACCCTCTTTCCAGGTGGTGTACAGTTTTACCTGAGGTGGAAACTTCGGTACATTGTGGGGAGCTTTCTTTACAACCATTGAGCCACATTTCTCTAATCCAAATTACACCCCAAAAGTCCTCATTGCAGATCTGTGTAAGACATTATAAATATAGACACACACATATCCATACACACAGCGTAGATCATTTTTCCATATCTTTTTCCTTAATATAACTCAGATTTGAGGATTCTTTAAAGCTCCAATCTTGAGAAATATAATTCTATAAAACAGATTCCATAAGAAAGCAGGAGTTATCGTATGTATACTCAACTGTACTCTGGTATATAAATACAAAGTATTCATCCGAAACATTTAGTTGTATAAAGTCTATATGTGTCTATAAAAAAGGAGCAACTTCTGGTTTTTGTTTTGTGTTTTTAATTATTTTTTATAAACAAGTATAAGAAACGAACAATAGAATAAAGTATCAGTGATGGTAATTAGGGAAACTACATCCATTACAGTTATTAAAATAATCTAAATAGAGTGGGGGAAAGGAAAAAAGAAAATTATCAGTAAGATATCAACAGAAAATCCAATATTTAAGTATTACTAAATCTTGACCATATAGAAGCATATTGTACCACTTTTTATAATATAAATATTTCAGAAATTGAAATATCTCATTAATGCATTAATTTTTCATTCATTAATATATGAATCCATGCCCTAAAATTAAGTGTATACATTTCTTTCCATTTACATAAAAACATGCTGATTGGAAGCTGCCCAGATGGGGAGACTATATCAATATTTTAAATAAATGAATTTCCACATAAAATAATTCTTATTGCCAGGTACCAGGCTTTTATAAAGAGCTACAGTTATTTGTAAAAGGCTCTATAATCAATACGCTTACTTCTTTAATTAATTATGTATTTTTCCTAAGGCTACATTAACACATACAGCAACTTGAAACCAAAATGAAGTCATGACTGGAAATGACTAAATTGCATTAATCAAAGAGCCCTCAAATTTCTTACAGTGGCAATCAGCTACCTTCCCTAGGGAGAGGAGAGGAGGGAGGTTAGTTGTCAAAAAAAAAAAAAGGCAAGGTAGCAGGCATAGTTGAAAATTATTGTCTCCTTTCTTGGATGGCATTATCGTGGTCTCAGTCTTCATAGCCTAATGCTGCTATTCAGATTTTAAATAGGAATGTAAAATTAAACTACATATTTCATGGATCAACACTACACACAAACAACAACCTTCCCGTTTGCTCTTTAAAAAATAAGTTGGCTTGTTGGTGGGGGCCATGTTTATTGGTGAGTCTAGCTATCTTTTTTTTTGGTTTCTCTTGGTTTGTCATTTTTCCAGACAAGATCATTTTTTTTTCTAGTTTTTACTAAACTTTTCAATTCTTTAAAAAAGAACACGAAAATGTGTATATCATTTCACACAGTTTTCTTATGATTTGGGCAAAGAGTGTTCTGCAATACAAATGCATTTACTGTTAATTATGTTATTTCATTTCTCTTCACACTTTAAATTGGAGATCATATTCAAAACTCAAGAATGTGCACATTTTGAAAAAAAAACCTGCATTTTGATTTGTATATTGCTTCAGGAAATGTAATTTAAGTTCCCATCATATTATAAGATATATTGCCCAAAGGGAACTTAAATGTGTGTGAGTGTGTGTGTGTGTGTGTGTGTGTGTGTGTGTGTAGACAGTTGTTTACAGCAGGTAATCACCTAAATAGAATGCATAGGGAATATTTTTGCATTCATGAAATAGAGCTTTGGATTAGGGTTGGGAAGAAGTATTTGTATTTCCTTTCACCCCCAGAAATATTAATTCCTTCTCTCTTGTCAAACTGCAGTTCTGATATATGAACCAAGCAACCCTGAAGCTAAGCAATTTCTTCCACTTATTGAGAAAAAAATGCTTCTGGGTGAGTATGATCATTGGAAATACTACAAACTATTTAACTACAAACTATTTATGAAGTTAATATTTTAAAGGACTGTAGCCAGTTACTTGTTTTGGAGGAATATAAATATTTGTAAAATAAGAAAGAAAGAATATAAATAACTAAGAAAGCTAATTAATTATAAATCAAATTTCTGACACAATTATTACTAATTAAAAGTACACATTTGGTTCTTTTCTTATAATGCTACTATTGTTCTTGTGCAGTGAACATTAATGTTACCCATGCAAAGAGTATATACAGTATATGCCTAGAATTACGATCAGTGTAATTTACGGCAAATAAGTGTACATTCAGTTCCAGGATTAATTCCAAAATAAATGTTAATGGGTTGTATTTGAATGTGCCTAACCAGTGATGGAATAGCGCCCACCAGAGGAACAAATCCCTTGTCTCCAGCTTCCTAGGCATTTTCCAAATCTGCTTTAGAGCATTTGGAAATTTATGAAGCAGATGTGGCATTATAATTTAGATGAACCCAATATAAAACTTTTCATCATGTAATTAAGGCTGTTGGTTGTTCACATCTCCAATTTGTTTATTGTGTTTTATGGCGCCAAATTCTAATTTTTGAAAGGAGATAAGTAGAAAGTTTCATTTCCATTGGATTTTCTCTCAAGACCTTGTCATTTTCTGAGAAGCAGGAGAAAAATTCAGATAGATTATGAGGCCGGCAAATAAACAGGCTACATACATACTGAATGTTTAGAAGAATGGCTGCTTTTAAGCGTGTACCTTTTACATTTCTATGTTAGAAAGTCAGTGTGCTGACAAAGAAGATGAGGAAGCTGATGAAGAGAGCAGTGATGAGGCTGAAGAAGAGTCCAACAGTTCAGAAGGCAGTGAGACTGAAAGTGAAACAAGTTCTGAAGATTCTGAAGACTCCTAGAAATTTGGAAGCTCCATCAATGAGTGTTTCTTTTTTCTGCAAAATACATTAAAATCAGTAGTCTATTAATTCAGTTATTTATTGTGTGATACAAACATGTGGCTTGTTGTGCATAGCTTCTTACATGGTGTACAACTTGTGGGATAAATGTAATTGTTTCTAGAAACCTACTATTTAGGGTTTTCTTCAGTCACTGCTGTGTCAGTCTTCACTCAAAGCATTAAAGGCAGGACTTATATGTATCCTCTGCTTGTTTAAAGCGTACAATACAAGAGATTTCAAGAAGAGTTACAGAAATTATTCCTGTGATTTTTGAGTCTCATGAAAGATTTCTACTAAGAGAGCAGAAGAAGAGAGTATATAATACATCTTCCAGACTCTGTTTGACATTGTACTAGAAACCAAATTTGCCAAACTGGTGCCTCTAGATGAATGGGATCACAATCCCCTTAATCCCAGCCAGGCTGATCTTTAGTTACATCAGCTATGGATGATGTAAGCTAAAATCCAGCATAACACTTTAAAGAAGCATCTTCATATGGGTCCTGATAAAATCATGATATTTTTGCTATAAGTATTTCATACACACAGACACTAATATTGCTTCTACTTCACTTCTGAAATTAATTGAGGAATTCTAAAGTAAGGCTGCACTCAATCCGTTCTTCAGCTCCAATTACATTTTAGCTCCGGTTCCATGATAGAACTTCTATTTCTTGCTTAGTAGCAGCAGCAGCAGTAGCTGCAGCTGAAAATCTAGGAAAGGACTCTGGGTTAGAATGCTGAACTCTGACCTTCTGGAATGTTTCTAAATGCTAAAAGGCAAAGGAAGAACTCTCAAGTCACCAATTGACTCAGAGAGGTAAGTGTATGTCTAATCTTATAGAAAATTCATACTTGTTTTATGCCACTCAACTCCCAAAAGGCTCTGGGGAGTTCACAGCATATCCTCAAACAAATTAATAAAATCCTTTAAAAATGCAGAACTCTAAAATAGTAGCTTGATACCTATGCTTCGCTATGAAAGTATGTGGTTGGGCTTAGTTTTGGGGGAGGAAAATAAGAGGGAAAAAATTCTGCCTCTGCCTACCAGGATCCTTCAGCATTCATCTGTCTAGTGTCCTGTCAGTGTGTGAGAGAGTTGAGGGCTGTTTGGAAACTGAAGCAGTATTTGCTGTGTGAGCAAGGAGACAGCAAGGAGCCTAGGCGTGGCTTAGCTCAACTGTTTTGTACTAAAGCTGTTTGGTGCTGTGAAACTAAAAGTGAAACTGAAACTCCTCTCCTCTGCTTGTGTTTTGCATTGGAACAGATTCATTTTCAGGTGGGGAGGAGGAGTAGAACTCCTTAGCATCAGAGCGTGTTAATAATAATATACGAAATACTAATGCTCTGATGGTCATTTTGAAAAATCCTTTCTTAGTGAGCACTTAGAAACCAAGAGGAATATATGTGCCAAATTTCAAGTTTGTAGGCTTTACAGTTCTAGAGATTTTGTGATAATGCATGAGTGGTATTTCACTTTTATATATATAGATTTGAAAGGATTTGATTCCCCTTACTAAACTCTAATAGAGAAGAAACTTGAATCAATTCCAGACGCCAAGTTATTTTATAATAATAGCCCATCCATAGAAAGAGAATTATGTTAATGTACCATTGCAGGATTTTTTTTAAAAAAAATGCTCAGCTAATTACTTAAGTAACCAGAAAGGTAGGAGTATACATACTGCGCATAACTTTAGCCTAAATTGTGCAAAGCGGTGGATGCTGCAGTGGGAATGCTGCAGTTTAACTGGGTTCAGGCTTTGTAGTGTCTGTATAGGAGTAAGGCAGCATCTCCAAGAGGCACCAATTATCAGCCATGTTGCTACATTCTAAAACCACCTCCAGGGATTTTCCTATGATGAGTACATTGCAATCTTGAGGTTATCGGTGGGTACATTTACCAATTCCAGTTCACTCTCTTCCACAAAAAAGTTCATTGGGTTTACATATTGCTCCCCAACAATCTGGGTTCTCATTTTACCAACCTCAGAAGGACGAAAGGCAAAGTTCTTAACTAACATTTCTGCAGTTTCACTCTGTCTCCAACAGTTTAACTACATACGGGATTTGTTGAATACTATTAGTGAACCCTATATGTAAACCAAAATACACTTGGATGAACAGATAAAATTGAGTCAGTAAAAGCAAAAAGCCATAACTTTTGATGATAATTACAGTAGAGCCACCTAGAAAACTGTCAAGACCTTTTAAGTTGGAAGCAAAAACCAAATAACACAAAATCACAGAGGCAACTTGAGATAAAATCATCAGGAAACTGAATATGTATTATAAGAAGAAGTCAAAGTAAGCTAAGAAACATATTGGTGCTCAACATCAGTACAAAATCATGAAGAATAAAATTACATATGTAATTTATCCAAGAGGGAGAAAGGAATGGTATAAGTGGTATAAGCAGTAAAGCTGGATGAAGAAACATTATTACAGAAATAGGGGGGGGGGAACCCACAGTTGACTAAGAGAAAATAACAAAGATTGGATAAGTGGAGGAGTGAACAAAGCAGTTGATTAAGCTTAGAAAAGGTAAGCAAAAGCCCAAGAGAATTATGGTAGATTGGGAAAAGACAAGGTAGAGATGACAGCTACAAAACTAGACAAGGAAAGGATTTATTTTTTTTAACAAGAAGGAAGCAGAAGAAAAAAAGTGACATATTTTATGGAGATATGTGGTTACGTTTTGCATCACATATGTTCAGAAATGATGCCTTGATACATACAACACTATGAGAAATCTAAATTGGTGGTTGACAAGAAATAACAAGGGAGAAGTGAATCAGCTGAAGTTGAATTAAACAAACGAAGCAGTCTAAATGCAATATACCCAGAAGGAACAAAAGGAAAAAAGGGTTTTTCTAAATTAGTGTTGAAGTAATATTCCTTCATAATGAGGAAATGTAAAGCAAGGTGCTTAAAGGTATATACAGTAAGAGTTTATCCACCATGTTTCACTTTGATGAAAGTCTTGGTAAAGAATGTTGAGTATTATTATTAATGAATATTAATTTATCATAATATGCTTGAAGCAGTTGTTATCTTCACTTGGAATGTCATTTCCACTAGGAGTTATCAAATGTGGAATTCAGGCTGCAAGCTAGTTCCGATATGCTAACAAAGGGCATTGCCATTGTTTTTGTACAACCAGCCAGAAGGCTTAAATTAATAGAACAAACTGGTTCCACAAATTCCACTTGTGCTTTTTGTTTTTGTTGTTTGCAAAAAATGGCAATTGAATGGACATCACATGCTATTTTTTTTTCTTTTTATGATCCTATAATCCCTTTTATTGGGGATTGAATGGAGTTGAGCGTTTACTGGCCCAATGCCCTCCCTGATGCCTATGTAGAGTTGTAACAAATAAATTCTCTTTGATACAGAAACATCACTAACTAGGATTGAACTCTCAATCTCCTGAGTGTGACATGAACATGTTCACCTCTAGCCACCATATCTCTCTGAACATTACATGCTATACAAATTTCCCTTAAATAAAAAAAAAGCCATCATTGCCAGGTAGATAACAGATTATTCAATAAATTAATAGTTTTAAGTCCCCCTTTTATCTAGGAAGTTTCAGAAATAGTAAATGAAATCAACTTTAAACTCAGTGGGAAATTCAGAATTTGAAATTGAGATACAGTGCCACCTTGAGAAAGCTCCTTAGTTTAATTTTTTTTTAAAAAAAGTTCCATAATAAAGGTCTGCTTTTTCTGTATGTGTTTGTTAATAATTATTTATTTTTAAAAGCCCTTTGCTTTGAAGGGGGACCAGTAATGGCAGTTCTTTTCTTAATAATCATCTGTTAGGGGAGGGCCAGATTGAATATATTTAGGCTGTACTTTCAGCTTAGCTTTTATAAACCTCTGCAGTAAAAAATGTTGATCATAAAGTTGGTTGCTCTTTGTTAAGTCTTCCAGCTGAGCCTGCAGGTATTGAGGATAAAGTAACATTTATTAGTATTATTGCTTTTACAAGTTGAAGTGCTTTGATTGCTTCATTGTCCCCATTGATAAAGCTACAGGCAAATTGCAGGTTATAGTTGAAGGAAATTCAATAAATTTAGGTACTGTGATAATCTCATATTACATAGCACTGTAGTCCAGAAGCAGAAAGACAACAGATCTGAATCAATTAATACACAAAACCTCCTAAATTAGACTACTGAAATTCAGTAAACTTGGAGAAAATCATATGATTTATTTAAAAATAGTTCATATCTCTATATTAAACATACATTTCTGGACTGAGTATGTAGTCAAACATTCCTCTCCATTGGACAGGTCTTTGAGTTCTAGAGAAGGTTCTTGCCTAGACTACAATGTATTCACCTTGCAGATCTAATTCCCAGGTTTTGTTTCCATCAGTAAGTATATGTAATTATTTTTCCTTCTGATAATAACAACAACATTTTGATAACCATGGTCTGTTTGTTTCTATCCCATTTTGATTCTATTTAGTAATGGTGAGGGCCGATTGTGTCATTCCCTCAACTCTTATTCTGACAATACTTAGCATTCCTCAAAGGCCTAAGTACACATTGATCGCTAAGCAATGAATATCTGGAGGGAAAGGGGCTCGAATTCATAAGCAGCAGGTCTGGAAATGGTTACCCAATCTATCCCCCTTCCTTCTTAGCTGCGGAATTCCATTTCTGACGTGGCTTTTCGCTCTTGCGAGAACAGCCTTTTTAATCACCCTAATTCCGAATCTTCCGATCCGTTGCTGCTCTCCGTGGTGCTGAAATCGATTGTAACACAATAGAAGTGTCCCCCTTGTACCGCCCACCGCCTCTCATCGCAGCCCTTTGAACAGGGTCTTCCCAGGAGCAGCCCTGAAGTGATAAATTTTATTTATCTTTTTCTTGCAGAACTACTCGATGCAACAATATTTTTTTTTCTTCTGTGCAAGTCAGGTTCATTTTAAAAAAAATAAAAAATTACCGGAGGGGGGAAAAGGTAAGACATCGAAACAGACAGGCTTAATGCGAAATCTGG